TTTGAATATCAAAGTACCTCCGGATGCAAAGGGAAGTCTCGCCATTAAGTACCTTCTACACTTTCCCCCTCAAGCAGAAAACATACAGATGCACTAAAGACACCCTGTGAATTTCTATCAAGTTCTCAACACAGCCAATGTTGAGGGCCTGGATGCCAGCAGCTACAACAGCACATTTTTCTTCCCTGTTGATTAAAGAATGTGAGCGACATAGAACATTGTTTTCTTCGAAATGTAGTGGCTGGTGAGTTTATTTTTCTCTTAATATTTTAGAAGGAAGAATAATAGCTAAGCTTTCTAAAATGACATTCTATTTTTAAAAGAGTTTGAAAAGCTGATTAAATCATGTATATTATTGCTGCTGTTTCATATTAAATGCATATTTTATTTCAAAGGCATGAATAAATGATTTCTGTAATATCTGGCTAGTGGAGTTTTTGTGAGTACTGTCAAGATGTTCTCACTGTACAATCCTATGAATATAAATAAGGTGGAGTTTCTGAGATCTTAAATTGTTCTTTGAAAAGTGCTGAAAGAAACTCTTAATTAAATACACTAATAATTGAGTCTCCTACTGATACCAATTGAGATTTCCCCCCTCCAAGAAAATAGTGCAGGAGAAACATTAATCAAAGACTCTTAAAAGTGATGTGACAATGATCGCTAATTTAAAATAATAATAAAAGTACTTCATGGTCTTATTAATAAAGCTATCACCCTATAGGAAAGAAATATATGTGTGTATGTGTGTGTGTGTGTGTGTGTGTGTATGTGTGTGTGTGTAAGAGAGAGAGACAGACAGAGACAGAGACACACAGAGAGAGAGGTCAATTACTCATGTATGAAAATTTCTCTTCAATGCCAATGGGGAAGACTCAGGGTCTCAACCTTACTGAAACTCCTCAAACATATCATTCTATTCTATGTTAGTATGAAGAAGACACTCATTTTCTTCTAACAAAAAAAAATATTCTTTGGAATGATTGGATCACTGAGGGACCCATAGAGACACAGTAGGATATCAAATACATCTCACTGAGGCCAATTGATTAGGACTTATATTTAGAACACAAGTCTTCAAACTATGCCATGGGTACTCACAGGAATATGGGATTGTCCAAAGAGTATGCACACAGGATATATAACAAATTTCCCTTTCTGTTTTATAAATCTTCCCTGTCTGACATTCTCAGTGCTTGCAGTATCCTCTAGTCTTCTTTATAAACCCCGTCCACAGCCAGCTCTCAGTATCCCTAATATTACTACAAGTCATTGGCTGAGAGTAGAAAAAATCTTTAATATCAATAGATACAATCAATATTGATATCTGAGGGAAAGATTCATATGTTTTCCTAGTTATACACATATTTAAGAGTTTAGAATAAAGAGGGTTTGGTAGGCTCCTGTCCTGTTCCATGTCTTCTCCTGCTTCTGATGTCTATCACATTTGCCCTTCTGAATGAGGATTGAGCATCTTCCCTAGCGTCTTCTTTGTTGTTTAGCTTCTTTAGGACTATAGATGTTAGTATGTTTATCCAATATTATATGTCTAATAACTACTTATGAGTGAGTATATACCATATGTGTCTTTCTGCTTCTGGATTACCTCACTCAAGATGATCTTTTCTAGTCCCCACCATTTGCTTGCAAATTTCATGATTTCTTTGCTTTTAATAGCTAAGTAGTATTCCATTGTGTAAATGTACCACAATTTCTGTATCCTTTCCTCTGTTGAATATAGGTTGTTTTCAGATTCTGGCTATTACAAATATAGCTGCTATGAACCGGGTTGAGCAAATGTTCTTGTGTAGTTGAGCATATTTTGGATATACCCACAGGGGGCCCCTGAAAGGCTCTACTGATGGAGGTATCAAAGCAGAGGCTGAGACTAATAGCCAAACTTTGGGCAGAGGGCATGGAATTTTATGAAAGAAAGGGGAGCTAGAAAGACCTGGAGGGGACAGGAGCTCCGAAAGGAGACCAACAGATAAATAAACAAACAAACAAACAAACAGACAAACTAATTGGGCCCTAGGAGCCCTGCAGAGACTGATACCCCAACCAGTAGCCGATAGACTCAGTCTCCAAGTGGGTTCCCTAGTAAGGGGAGCAGGAGCTGTCTCTTGCAGGGATTCAGTGGCAGACTCTCTGATTATTTCCCTGTTGGGGGTGGGGGAGTGGAGCCTTGCCAAGCCACAGAGGAAGACGATGCAGCCAGTCTTGATGAGACCTGATAGGCTAGGGTCTCCCCTATCAGTGGACTATGGTAGGGTCATAGGAGGAGAAGGGGGGGTTGGAGGAGACTAAGGAGGGGGCCACAGCTGGGATACAAAGTGAATAAATTGTAATGAATAATAAAAAAGAGGGTTTGGCTCTGTTTTGGAATGCTTTTAATCTAAAAAGACTTTGTGGTAGAGGTGGAGATTCTTTTGTCAACCAGAATATAGCAGCTGTAATCCTTCAAAGATCCAAGATCATCAGTGAGACATTGAAAGAAGACATCTAATCCACATAAAATCCTTTCTATAAAAGATACAAAACAAACAAATGACTACACTTTATCTCTCCAAGTATTCCCATTAAAAATGGGGTACAGAGCTAAACAGAATTCTCAACAGAGGTATATATAATGGCACAAAAACACTTAAAGAAATGTTCAACATCATTAGTCATCAGGGAAATGCAAATCAAAATGACCCTGAGATTCCACCTCAAACCCATCAGAATGGCTGAGGTTAAAAACTCAAGTGACAACACATGCTGGAGAGAATGTGGAGAAAGGGGAACCCTCCTCCATTGCTGGTGAGAATGTAAACTTGTACAACCACTTTGGAAATCAATCTACTGGTTTTTCAGAAAATTAAGAATACTGCTTTCTCAAGATCCAGCTACTGGGAATATATCTAAAAGATGCTAAAGCATACCACAAAGACATTTACTCAAACTATACTCATAGCAGCATTATTCATAATAGCCAGAATCTGGATGCAACCTAGATGTCCCTCAACTGAAGAATGGATACTGAAATTGTGGTACATTTACATAATGGAATACTATTCAGCAATTAAAAACAAGGAAATCATGAAATTTGCAGGCAAATGGTGGGAACTAGAAAAGATCACCCTGAGTGAGGTAACCCAGAAGCAGAAAAACACATATGGTATATACTCACTTATAAGTGGATATTAGCTGTATAATATAGTTTAAACATACTAAAATCTATAGTCCTAAAGAAGCTTGACAGCAAAAAGTACCCTAGGGGATAAGCTGAAACCTCATTCAAAAGGGCAAACAGGATAGACATCGGAAGTAGGAGAAGACAGGGAACAGGACAGGAACCTTTCATGGGGGGCTTCTGAAAGACTCTACCCATCAGGGTATCAAAGGAGATACTGAGACTCAGAGCCAAACTTTGTGCAGAATGCAGGAAATCTTATGGAAGAAGAGGGAGATACGAAGATCTGGAGGGAACAGGACTCCACAACAAGACCAACAGAGCCAAAATAACCTGGACCCAGGAAGGCCTACAAAGACCAATACTCCAACCAAGGACCGTGCATGGAGAGGACTTAGAACCCCACTCAGAGGAAGTCCATAGGCTGCTCAGTTTTCAAGTGGGTTCTCTAGTAAGGAAGGAGGTGCTGTCTCTGTCATGAACTCAGTGACTGCCTCTTTGATTACCTCCTCTTGGGGAGTACAACCTTACCAGGCCACAGAGGGAGATGATGCAGCCAGCCCTGATGAAACCTGATAGGCTAGAGTCAGAGAGAAGGGGAGGAAAGTCCTTCCCTATCAGTGGACTAGGGGAAGGGCATAGGGGTGAAGAGGAATGGTTGGTGGGACTGGGAGGAGAGGGGGCTAAAGGAGGAATACAAAGTGAATAAATTGTAATAAATAAATAAATAAATAAATAAATAAAATCAGCCTTTAAATTTAAGATATGTACCAGTGGGACTTACAATGACGCATTTTTTAACTTTTTATTGCTTCTTTGTGAATTTCAATCTTGCATCCCAGTTCTGCTCATCTCCTCATCCCCTTATATCTGCCCTTTGTCTTTGCCACCTCTCCCACACATAAAATAAAAGACGCAAGAACAAACAAAGAACAAAACAAAAAGCATATAAAAAAAAATCTCATAGAGGAAGCTGAAGTATATCACAATGTGTCTGTCCCACAATATATCCCTCTATCCACACATCTTCACTTGCACATACTCATTGCAATGAGTCATTGGTCTGGTTCAAGATCTCTGGCTTCTGTGACACCATCAACATTGTATCCTTCTTAGCACTCTCTTCGGTTACCCTCTTATTGTCCTTTGTCATGGAGATCCTGCATCTTTGGAACAGCAGGACTGATACTTTCACACATCCCAACCGTTTGTACATAACATAGATTTGGGGGTGAGACAATTCAGAGACCTGGATCTAGGCCTGGATGGTAGCTGAGCTGGTCAGCCTGTTTTTTTCTGAACAACCAGGGCAAACTCTCCAGCACTGCTCTGGCTAGGCCACCAAATGCTGTCAATGGCAGGAGACAGGGTCAGCTCTCCTATTTTCATACCTTCAGGGCCTGTTCGCCCACACTCATGCCTCCAGGGCCAGCTCCATTGTGCTTCCCAGTCAAAGTTCAGGGCTCACACTCCCAAGTGTCAGTAGTCTGTGAGGAGCTGAGACAGCTCCCCTGCTCTCACAAACCTTAGGACTGGCTCAACCGTCCACTGTATTGCCTAGGCAAGGTGTAGAGCCCTCTCTCCTGAGTGCTACAGCCAGTTGAATGGGCAGGGTTAGCCCTCCCTCCTGCTCTCATAACCCGAGAGGCAGCTCTCTCAGCTACTGCTGGTGGTCAAGAGGGGAGAGGGAAAGGGCATCACCCCACATGCAGGTGTCTATGGCCCACCTGTGCTGGAGGTCAGGTTTGTGGGTGGTATGGCAGGCCCCAGGTCTCTGACTGTCTTCCTTCTCCTGTGTTGTGTTACCTGGATTTTATTTTATTTTTAGTGAGTCCTAGGCATAAGACAGCTTTAGCTATCAAGCTAGGCATCAAGCTAGGATGAACAAAAGATTGCCAACTGCTCTGCCCCTGACTGATGTAAGAATAACATCACCAATAAAGTGTCTCTTTGCCCATTACCAGATCTTACTGTTTCCCACTTCTTACGTAAGATTCCATGCACTCTGCCCAACAGTTAGCCATAAGTCTCAGCATCTGCTTTGATAGTTTGCAGGGCAGAGCCTTTCAGAGGCCCTTCGTGGTGGGTTTCTAGCATGTTTCCTGTTTTCTTCTTCTGATGTCCTTCCTCTTTGCCTTTCAGGATGGGGATTGAGCATTTTAGTCAGGGTCCTCTCTCCTGATTAGTTTCTTCAGATGTACAGATTTTAGCAGGTTTATCCTATATTACATGTCTATATGACTGAGTAAACACCGTGTGTCTTTCTGCTCCTGGGACAGCTCACTCAGGATGATCCTTTCCAGATCCCACCATTTACCTGCAAATTTCATGATTTCCTTATTTTTCATTGCTGAGTAATATTCCATTGTGTAGATGTACCACAATTTCTATATCCATTCTTCAGTTGAGGGGCATCTGGGCTGTTTCCAGATTCTGGCTATTACAAATAAAGCTGCTACAAACATGGTTGAGCCAATGTCCTTATTGTGTACTTGAGCCTCTTTTGGATATATGCCTAGGAGTGGTATGGCTGGATCTTGAGGAAGCACTATTCCTAGTTGTCTGAGAAAGCGCCAGATTGATTTCCAGAGTGGTTGTACAAGTTTACATTCCCACCAGCAGTGGAGGAGGGTTCTCTTTTCTCTACAGCCTCTCCAGCATGTATTGTCACTCGAGTTTTTCATCTTGGCCATTCTGATGGGTGTAAGGTGAAATCTCAGGGTCGTTTTGACTTGCATTTTCCTGATGGCTAATCTTCAACAAATGGTGCTGGTCTAACTGGATGTCTACATGTAGAAAAATGCAAATAGATCCATACTTATTACCCTGCACAAAACTGTAGCCCAAGTGGATCAAAGACCTCAACATAAAACCAGACACATTAAATCGATTAGAAGAAAAAGTGGGGAAGACCCTAAAACTCATTGGTACAGGAGACAACTTCCTGAACAGAACACCAAAAGCACAGGCTCTAAGAGCAACAATCAATAAATGGGACCTCATGAAACTGAAAATCTTCTGTAAAGCAAAGGACACAGTCATCAAAACAAAACGACTGCCTACAGATTAGGAAAGAATCTTCACCAACCCTTTATCTGACAGAGGGTAAATATCCAGTATATATAAAGAACTAAAGAAGCTGAAAAGCAGCAAACCAAGTAATCCAATTAAAAAATGGGGAACAGAGCTAAAGAGAGAATTCTCTGTAAAGGAATATAGAAGGGCAGAAAAACACTTAAAGAAATGTTCAATGTCATTGTTTATCTTCTTTAGGTGCATAGATTTCATTATGTTTATCATATCTTCTAGGTCTATATAAGTGAGTATATACCATGTGTGTCTTTCTCCTTCTGGGATACTTCACTCAGAATGATCTTTTCTAGATCCCACCATTTGCCTGCAAATTTCATGATTTCCTCATTTTTGATTGCTGAGTAGTATTCCATTGTTTAAAAATACCACAATTTGTGTACCCATTCCTCTGTTGATGGACATCTGGGTTGGAAAGAAGGGGGAGTTGGTATTACGTGGAAATGATAGGAGATCCACAAGTACCAAATATATCTGGACACAGGGGTCTTTTTTTTTTTTTTTTTTGAGACTGACACTCCACCAAGGACCATCTATGGATATAACCTAGAACCTCAGCTCAATGTAGCCCGTAATAGCTCAGTAACCAATTGGTTTCCCATAGTAAGGGGAACAGGGACTATTTCTGACAGGAACTCAATGGCAGGCTCTTTGACCTCCTCACTCCCCAAGGGAGGAGCAGTCCTGCTAGGCCACAGAGGAGGACTTTTCAGCCAGTCCTGAAGATACCTGATAAAATAGGATCAGATGAAAGGGGAGGAGGTCCTCCCCAAACAGTGGACTTGGAAAGGGGCAGGGAGGAGATGAGGGAGGGAGGGTAGGATTGGGAGGGAATGGGGGAGCAGGATATAGCTGGGATACAGAGTTAATAAAATGTAACTAATAATAAAAATACAAAATAAAAAAGATCTACTTTGGCTAATTGTTTTGACATGATCCCTTGATGTGTGAAGTGGGAAATATAAGGGTAAAGACTAAACAACCCAGTTAGAAGACTCTGAAAGCTTTATCAGTAGAGTAGATCAAGACAGAATATCAGGACTTGGGAATAAAGTAGAGGAATTCAGCCACTCAGTCAAAGAATATGAAATGTTTTAAAATACACTAAAGGAATAAGCAGAAACTATGAGATGCCATGAAAATAACAAATTTTTGAACTATAGGCACAGTAGAAAAGAACTCTTAATTAAATGGCATTGACCAGACTTTTAATGGGATTATGAATGAAAAGTGCCCAAATTAGTAAAAGACATACCAGTATATTTTTTAAAAAAACATACAAAACATTTTTATACTTTTCATTTTTCTTTATTCTTATACAATACGTATTGATGGCAGCCTCCCCTTCCTCCCCTGCTTCCATTTCTTCCCACCTCCCCTCTCCCTCAGATTCACAGCTCTTCAGAAAAGAGTATACATCAGCTCAATCTGTGGCTCTAAGATAAAAAGTACATATAAAACAGGATAAAGTCAGGTATGGTGGTGTATGTATAATACCGGAGCTGCATGGGGAGGCATGAGGAATGCTGTGGATTTCAGCTTAGCCTGGCTACATAGTGAGTTCAGAGTCAGTCTGGACTGCATATGAGACTCTGTCAAGAAAGAATAGATATTCTATCATAAAAAACACATTACAAAGTAATGAGTCTAAAATATATAAGAAAGACTAGGGAGATTGCTCAGTAGGTGACAGAACTTGCTGTACAACTATAGGCTCTGGATCCAAATTCCAAGCACTCACATAAAAGTTCAACATGGCCTTGAATGGCTGTAGTCCCAGGATTAGGGGGAAAATCAGGTTGATCTTGAGTGATCACTGACCAGCCATCCTAGAAGACACAGTTAGTTTTAGGTCCTGTGAGAGACACTCTCTCAAAATAAGGTGGACATTGGTAGATTAGATCACCAACATTTTCCTCTGACTTTACTGTGCCCATGTGCACACACAGACATATACCAAACCAAAACTCGCATGATAAACCAAAATAAAATAACTCAAATTTCAATAGTAAGAAGCCAATCAACTAACTGAATTTTTAAGAATATTTTAATAAATCTTTCATCAAACACTGGCAACTGGAGACAATGAGCAGAAAACAATGACAAACAATGAAAAGATACTCACCATGACAGTTAATAAATGTGAATTAAACCACAGTGATGTACCACTGAATGTCCAGAAAAATAGCTAGCAAGAGAAGACATCAGTGATGACAAGAGGCAGACAACAGCTCTCAGCTCTCATAGACTCCTGGTGGTGCCACTGCTTTAAAAACAAAAAAACACTGCAGATTTTTAAAAAGATAAAACCAGCCATCGATCTCATCCCTATGCATTCCAGCAATATCACCTGAAATAAAAATTGTCACTAAAAGCCAATCTTCAAAGCACATAGAGAAGAGATTGGCTTCAAGGAAACATGAAGGAGTAATTTGAGGTCATCATGACTTTGGAGGAGGCTTCACATCTGTAAGAGTTTATGAAAAGTATATCATCTGCAGGAAAATGGGTAAAATTGAAGATCATTGTATTACAGAATATAAGGCAGGTTCAGAAAGAAAGATATTACATGTTTTCTCTCAGTCAAAATTTAGATTTTTAATTTTAATAATGTAATAGTAGTAAAAGTGGAAATATTTGGGGAAAAGAAAAGAACAGGCACTGAGGTAAGGGAAAATCAAGGGAGGGGAAGGAAGTTGGAAATGAGCAAAGCACATGAATGCATGCTAGGAATATATGAATGTCACAATGATACCCATTATTTTGTACAATAAATGTAAACAAAAAATTCATTAAAATATACTTTTAATTTTTATTAGCATATGTTAATAATACATAATAATGTCTATTTTTGTGCTACTTTCATATATATAGACATAATATACCTCTTACTCTCTCTTGTTCCCTTTCTCCTTCTACTTATACCCTTCCTCTTCGCAATTAGTGCACCTACTTTCAGGTCTTCTTTACTTCTTTACTTCAGGTCTTCTCCTTCCCTTTTTCTCTCCTTCCTCCCCTCCTTCCTCTCTTTCTTCTCTCCCTCCTCCTCTCCTCTCCCTCCTCCCTACACTCCTCCCTGTCTTCCTTCCCTTTTCTCATTTTTCCCTTCCTCTTTCTCCTCCCCTCCTCCCCTTCTTTCTCCCTTTTCTCCTCCTTTTCTTTCTCCCCTCCGTTATACTCTCCTTCCCTTTCTCCTCCTTACACTCATCTCCATCCTTCTTCTGTCTTTTCACTTTCCCATTCTCCCCTCTCATCACTATCTTTTCCTTATCCTTCCCTTCTCTTCTTCCTTCCTGTTTTCTTCCTCCTCATTCTTCTGTTCTTCTCCCTTCACTACCTCCTTTTTTTCTGGCTTCTTTTCGTTCTTTTCCTCTTTCCTTTCTCTCTTATCTCTCTCCCTCCTTCCCCCCTTTCCTTCTTTCCTTCCTTCCTCCCTCTCTTCCTCCCTCCCTCTCTCCCTCTCTCCCTCTCTCCCTTCCTTCCCTCACTTTCTGTCTCAGCTCTGTTTGGCAATGGTGATTCAGAGATGTCATTCTGGGTCCCATATTCTAGCACAGTTCCCTATCTAAACCCATCAAAACCAGTGTTGTGTAATGTTGTGTCAGGAACTGGATTGTCATGATGTGTGTAGACAGGTACTAACTGGCAGGTAGCTCATGTACGTTTCAGACCCCACCCTACACAGTTCTGGGTGACATCCAGGAATCGTGCAACCCAACGATTTTTATTATAATTGTTAAGATAAATGTGGGAATCTTACCACATTTGTCTGATTAGATTTTAAATGGTTTATTTATTTATTTATTTATTTATTTATTTATTTATTTATTTATTTATTTATTTATTAGAAATGTAGCACTTAAGCTCATCTATTTGAC